AATGATTTTTTTCACTGCATGCAAATTATTTTCCTTGATGCACTCAACCACAGTCCCTCGACTCAACAAAGTCAAAGCTGACGTACAACTTTCGTTGCAGAACGCGTGAAAAGTACTTCGCGACTTCGCATAGTCGTCGGGACGAAGCCTTACAACTCCAAGATGGCGATAACGTTACACCGTAAATAGGCAGTCAAAACCAACGTCCACGTTACACTATTTAATTGTTCTAGCCAGCGGTGTGATGTGTCTAATCACCGTAAACCATGTGTCATTTGTTTGGTCCCACAATTTGTCTTCCATGTGCTTGCCGATCACCGAACAGCATGTCGCCGGTACATAGTGTTTACACACTTTTTTTTACAGTACCATTTTACTATTTAAAACTTGATTTTTTATAAGGCATTCGGTGAACCCCACTGTAAATGAGAAGTAATATTACGGGCATCGACCATTGGGATTCGCGCTTTTCGACCAACCAGCCAATGGGAATCGTGCTCTTCGCAGAGTGACACTGCGATCCTTTCGCCGAGTGCAATAATCGACATTCGACGAGTCGCACAATCGCGTCGCAGAGTTAGTTTTTAGGGTTTGACCATTTGATTTTTGAGGGGGAGGTCAGAATAAAAAAAAAATTGCAAAGTGAAAGGTTCTTCAAAAAAAAAAAAAATTGTTGCTTCACAAGTGTAAAAAAAAAAAAAATTGTCACTATATGACTTAGCGAAAAAAATGTTTCCATCAGCTGTTGTCGTGTCATCTCTGAACACAGTTGATTCACTTGAATTACTGCGTCATAAGAATATGCCAATTCTTCCTGCCAAGATAATACATTGATTGTATACTGATTTAGTACCTTCCATGATAAGAGCATGCGCTACTAATAGAGCAAATGTGGTATTGCATGCAACATCTCTGACAATTTAGCTAAACAGAAACATTGTTAGAAAAGTTGCTTGCAATATTGCCGACTACTGTAAAATACTTTATTTTCTCTTTATTTTTGCTGAAAACAGTTTTCTGGCATAGTGTAGATCTAATTTTCACTCAATGCAACGTATAGAGAAAGCTGCACTTTCACTGGAATTTATTTTTGCTGAAAACAGTTTTCTGGCATAGTGTGGATCTAATTTTCACTCAATGCAACATATAGAGAAAGCTGCATTTTCACTGGAATTTATTTTTGTTGAAAACAGTTTTCTGGCATAGTGTGGATTTAATTTTCACTCAATGCAACGTATAGAGAAAGCTGCATTTTCACTGGAATTTATTTAGCAGAAAATTGACTTCAGGTAAAACAGGGAAAATAAAATGCCAGTGCAAATAAAGCATTCCACGGTATGTTATGTGACCACAATAATAGACAAGATACATTCATGATTGTATTGAACCATGTTTTATTAAACAAGTAATAAATAAAATAAATATCAAAGAAAGCTTCGAAAGAACTCCTGTGTGCTGAGAGTATTGGAGATACATTAAATTTAATTCAAAATTTAAGATTTGTTTTTCAAACAAGAAGCTTGGCAACTAATTTTTGTCTGCTATTTGAGATGCAAAACATGAAAAAAATGTGATTCACATTATCAAAATTTATAATACATACAGAAAATACATTTGATGTTTCATTCATGGTTTTTAGTCTAATTAGTTCTAGAGCACCTCTGCGATAAATTTAATTTAAATCTGATTTTTTTTTAATATCAGAAATGGGCTAATAATAGATAATCAACATTAAACTAATCATGTCTGTGGATTACCTCAATGAACCAAATGAATTATTATACAAATTAAGCAATTATTATGCATAGATATAGGTCTGTATATTGTTTCAGGGTGCACATGTACAAAGTTTCAATATAATGTGATGATTAATCCTAACTAAATTAGTGGAAAGCTGAAAAGTAAATTATTATGCAAATTGGGTAATTATTATAGATGAATATAAACCTAAATTTAATTTGATCATCGCATTGTGTTAGAGTATATATGTACCAAGATTCATTAAATTAAGATAAGTACTGTCAGAGACCATCTATGTACGAAGTTTCATTGAAATGTGATTATAACCAAAAATTAACTAATTATGCCAAATAGTTGATTAATATGCACACATTTTTACTTAAAATTAATCAGGTCTTTGGATTGTTCTAGAGCATCTATGTACCAAGTTTCATTGAAAAGTAATGAAGTAATAGTACTTGAAATATCAAAAGCTGACAATTGATTAATTATGCAAATTAGGTAATCAATATTTCACACATCTGTCTGTGCACTGTCATATGTATCTATCAAGTTTCATTAACATGTGATGATCAGTACCTGAGATATCAGTGGAAAAGCCGAAAACTTACAAATCATTATGCAAATTAGGTTACTTATATGCATGGATTTTTACCTAAAACTAATCACGTCTGTGCATTAGTCCGGAGCATCTATGTACCAAGTTTCATCAAAATTTAATGAATGGCTCTTTAGATATCAGCGGAATAGTCAAGGAACAGCTAGAAATTAGCTAATTATCATGCAAATCAGGTAATTAATATGTATGGATTTCAACCAAAACCTAATCAAATCTGCGCATTAGCCCAGAGCATCTTTACACCAAGTTTCATTAAAAACCAACATACGGTTCTTGAGATATCAGTGGAACGGACAGACACACACCTACTGCCTCAAAATTAAAACACATATCATCAAATCTATTAAGGATACGCCCTGTTTACGCATTGAGTATTGAGTATCTCAATATTTTGCTGACCTGGTTTTTCCTATGCCACAGAGGACAAAATTCCGAGGACTGTGATTTTTTTTGTGAGGACACGGAAATTTCAGGGGGTTTCACTCATAATCTTGTTGCAAGTCCTCGGAAAACATGCAAATAAACAAGATATTTCACTGCTTATCTAAAACAGAGGTAACTGTTTCAAACATAAATCATTCAAGGCGATGACTTTTGGATTGTTTTTTTCTAAAACAGAAATAATTACACGATACTCATTTTTGATTAGAAATGATTATTGCAAGACAATCCTTTTATATTCCATGTAATGAAGTGACTGTATGTATTGTTGCCACTATTCATTGATATTCTATGGAATGAAGTGACTTCATTTATTGATGCCAAAATATTCATTGATATTCAATTCAATGAAATGCCTGCATTCACTGATGCCAAAATATTCATCGATACTCCATTCAATGAAGTGACTTCATTTATTGATGCCAAAATATTCATTGATATTCCATTCAATGAAACGCCTGCATTCACTGATGCCAAAATATTCATTGATACTCCATTCAATGAAGTGACTTCATTTATTGATGCCGAAATATTCATTGATATTCCATTCAATGAAATGCCTGCATTCACTGATTCCAAAATATTCATTGATACTCCATTAAATGAAGTGACTTCATTTATTGATGCCAAAATATTCATTGATATTCCATTCAAAGAAGTGACTTCATTTATTGACACCAAAATCAGGGGCGGATAGAGGATTTTTTATGGGGGGATCCAAACTTTGAAATCGCCAGACTGAGTTAATGATTTTTTTATATTATACAAAAACAAATTGAATAAATTTTTCAACCGGGGGGCGGGAGTTGGGGTGTCCCAGACCCCAAGAACCCCCCTCTAGATCCGCCACTGAAAATATTCATTCATATTCTCCATGCAATGAAGTGACTGTATATATTGATTCCACAATATTTATTGATATTCTATGCAATGAAATGACTATTTATTGTTCACAAAATATTCATTGATATTCTGTTATGTAGTGACTGAATTCAATGATGCCAAAATATTCATTGATATTCCATTCAATGAAGTGACTTCATTTATTGACACCAAAATATTCATTCATATTCTCCATGCAATGAAGTGACTGTATATATTGATTCCACAATATTTATTGATATTCTATGCAATGAAATGACTGTATTTATTGTTCACAAAATATTCATTGATATTCTGTTATGAAGTGACTGTATTTATTGATGTTAACTATTGATAATCAGTGTAATTGAGCGACTTTATTTTATTTGTTTTTATTTTATTGGTATTCCATGCAATAAAGTGCCTGTATTATTGTTAAAAATATTCCAAGTAATGAAGGGACTGTATTTATTGTGTTGTGTATTGTATTGTGTTTAACTGTTCACTGATATTCCATACAAGGAAGTGACTGCATTTATTGCAGCTAACATATTCATTACAGAGAGGGTAACCTCATACTCACTTTATTACATGCTTCACACAGAAGTCAATACTGTTGTTTTTTTAGCATATTACCAAGGCTGAAGTCATTCTCAAATTTCCAAATTATACACCTATAAAGTGAATGTTTCAATCTAAAACATAATCTCTACATAATAAATTATTACTGAACATAAAATTTGGTTGAATACTTTTTTTTTAATTTTTAATGGTACACACTGAATACATGTACATTTAAAAAATCAGCAATAGTTACATAAAGTAAATGATGTCTTCACAGCAAATGTCAATGGTGGATAGGGGGCGGGGCGACAACAAATTTTCAAATATTCAGGTTTTAATATACATGTATGAGGGGCACACAATGAAACCATCTGTACTTAAACACTAAAAATATGGCAATGCTGCCTGATGGGATGGGTTGTTGTGTGCCCAACAAGTGTTGAACAAGATGTGATACAGGTTTGTGAAACTGATATAACCATCTTTTAGAGCCCTTGTTTCATCATATTGTGAAGCTTTGAAATTATGTTCATAGTTCATCTATTCATATGGCAAACAAGTTCGGATGTTATACTTATAATTGACCAATTTATCTGCTCTATTTGAAGTGCATCTAGACAAGCACATAAACCAAAATTAATTTATACTGGATCAATATAAATTGACTTGTTTTGACCATAACCATATATGAAAGCACATGATAACAGAAGCATTCAAGACACATGTAAGAAAGATGAAACTCACTCTTGCATGTATTACATATTTGATAACCCAACCCAACCAACTAAATGGCATACAGAAGACCTGTAGCAAGAGTTAAGAATAATTTAGTTTTGACTTTGATTGCTTTTTACATGTTGTTATCAGATTGTACACACAATACTTTATGTTTTTCCATGACCTGCTGGCCAGTACTTGATTCTCTTTCAGACAGTTAGTACATTCAATCTTTCCAGAAACTTTTAACATTCTGATATTTCTCATAAAATAGTTTTTGACTACTGTCCGTTCTTCTGTGGTCCACATCTTTTTCCCATCACTCACACCTAAGCACAAGAGAAAATGTAATTAAACCAAAAGAGGTCCCAAAAGAACTTAGTGCATGAAAATAAAACTGTCTAGTATTTAAGACTTAATGATAGCAGCAATGGAGAAACCACAAGACAAGTTCATTTTTAACTGAGAGCAAAATGTATATGACTTCTTGTTTAGAAAGGGAATACAATCAATCAATTATAATACCTTTATCAGGTTGCCTCTGTAAATAAGCTTTCTTAGTCTCTGACTGAACAGGGATATCTGTGGAAGTTCTCTTGTTATACAGTGATGACATGCTTACATCTGGAATAAAAATAACACAAATCAAGGCAGTTGGTAAATGAAGCTGAAATCACAAGTAATGGAGCACTGAAAACAGACCAAAAAGAATGACACCCTTGAAAGTTTCGCACACCATACTTTGTCTACATTCACTAGGAAAGTACTTTTTTGTTGCGAGCAGTTCAAATTTATGAGTTAGACGTTATTCAGGAAATTTCTCCCAATGATCTTGGGACTTACAAGCATGGATACTCTACTACTATAAGCAGCAGATTTGTGATGGAATGCAATAACTAATGATACTTTCTGCAGAAAACCCATTTACCAGACATTATTGAGCAATAAGAGGTCAAGTACTAGTACAGGGATGTGTTCAATGGGCGAGATGCAGAAAAAACACATTATTTAAGAGGCCATTTCCATCCATTATGGCAGCGAGGAATCCATTATTTCAATTATAATGCCCAAAATGTAGTGGTGTGCTCAAGAAAAAGGACAACGACTTTGTTGTTATTGCGTCCTGACTTTAACAAGTTCACAAACAAATGGCATACAAAA